GCTTTTTAACCACTTTTTTTTTTTTATTTTTAAAAAAAAAAAAAAAAAAAATATATATATATATATATATATATATATATATATATATATATATATATATATATATATATATATATATATATTAGATATATATTAGATTTTTTATATGTTGATTGAACGGGAACTAGCTCATGCTCAGGTTTTGAACTTAATCCAGAATATTTAGGTGGTGAATTGTGAACATGATTTTTGTTTTCTTTCACATAAATTGCCTGTATTTGAACTAGTTCTTGTGAAAGAGGAACTTGCAAAACATTTCACTCAAGAGAATACATAATCCCTAAGTTTACTTGGTGCTACTGATTTAATAAAAGTGACTGAAAAGCAGTTTAATTAATTGCAATTTGAACATCTTAATGCAGCTGCAGTCGAATTATCAATATCACTTGTAATCAGAAACACATGTTGGATACATTAAGTTTGTATCCAATATGTTTAAACATAAACCTTTTCTCTTTAGCTTTGTAATTTAATCTGTGTGTGTGTGTGTGTGTGTGTGTGTGCTGTATCTCACCGAGCAGCCTCTCTGCTCAATTTGCTGCTCAGCTTTAGTGGGGGAGCCTGGTGCTTCTTCCTGTACTCGTTGTGGCACTGCAGCACCTCCTCAGCAAATTGTTTGGAGGCTGAGAGACGGAGACGGATCAGAGGGGGGAACGGTTAGACGTCTGATGACGGCAGGAATGAAACGATACAACAGGGAGACTCATCCGTGACCTCAGAGCTGTGATGTTGAGACTGAATGACCTCACATTGTGAGTAAGGAAACGTCTGCTGGATCATCCCCCTCAACCCGCTGTCACCCCCTTCTCCACAAGGCTACTCAGTGCCTATCACTCACTGGCCTTTTCATGAGTCTCACAGTCTCCAGTGCTTACACAATAGGTACATTCAAATATTTACACAGACTAAAACAGAAGGACAGATTCTGCTATTGTTTACTAGGAATCTAACGAGAATCAAAGGGATCAAAGTATGCCAGATTAAGAGCAGAAAAACAGCTTTTAGTGGATGTTTTTTTACAGTTCAATATATTTTTTGTACTACATTACAAAGATCACACATGTGATTTTTCTGTCTTGGAAAATTTTAAGTCAGTGAAAAAAAAAAAAAAAAAAAAGATTTGCGTTACATCCGTCAGACTGCAGTCTCCACTTACCGGATTTTCCCATGGTGCTGAATCACTCAGTCCTCGGTGAGATTAATAGTGCAGAGTGAAGTCAGCCTGTTTTGTGCCCGCTCTTCTATCCAATTTGCTTTCGCTCTCCTCCTGGTGCTGGACCTTTAAAGCCGACCCTCTGAAATAGCTACCAATCCATTTGTTTCAAGCCTTTCTCGTCTCTCACACTTTCACAGTCTTCATGTTGCAGAAAGTTTGGCAGCTCCCGTTTAGAAATTCCTCTTGTTGCAATGATCGTTGCACAACATTCGCTCTAAATCAGCATTTTACCTCACTCAGCATAACGTGGAACTCCTTCCTTGTAGCCAAGCGGTCCAGTATCTACATGCCATCAGCTATCTTTATGGCCCAGAGGAGAACACACCCACACCCTTTCATTTCTGCAATTGAAAGAGGAGGCCCTTCAGTCACTGATGACATCATCTTTACGAGACACACTCTCTCTTTAAGCTTGTTTTCCCTACCTACAGGGGAGGGAGAGCCCTAGTCATGGCAGCTGTGGCCTGAACCACATGGCCATTCATTTCATTTTCACTGCAATGATGCAGCGTTGTGCTGGACAGTATACAGTGGGAGCAAAGAAGTAGCTTCCCTTCTGCTGCTCTGTTTTCAGGTTCTTTGCCATCAACAATATTCTCAAATAAGAGTGACAACCTAATTTTGACTCTCTCTATATAAAAAAGAGCTGTGACTGATCTGACATTCAAGAAGAAAATGAGTCACTATCAATAATACTGCAGAGCAGGATGCAACTATTTGTTTTGTCTGTATGAGGTATGCTACCTCTCGAGAATAAATGACATTCCCAAGATCAATATAAAAAAATGAAAGTGACAAATCAGAACTGAATATATTATTCACGTGACATCTCGTTACTCGGATCTGCTAAAACTGTCTTGATGCGCTTTTTGTAAAAGTTGAGACTTATGTAAATAATCAGTATTAAAATAATACACAACCTCTTAAATTTCAAGATGACTAAGCTCTTATGTGAACCAAACACAGGTGAGCCATAAACCCATGTCAGCAGTCAGTGGTTTCAACAACAAAAACAACAACAAAAAGCAGCTTGAAGCTTTTAACAGTCTGGGAAATGTTCAGTCTAACAACAATATCAAAAAGAAATTGGTGGTTCACCCCAAGGATGAACCACTCAAGAACAAATTGTGCTGAACAGTTTGGAGCAAAGAATGCAGAGCACTAAAACGCAAATGGAACGACAGCTGCACAAATGGATAGAAGAAAACAAACCAGTTCATTTAAACAAGAGTAATTGGTTAATCGGCATTCCAAGGACAAGGGACGCTCTTCTTCACTCAAAAGACAAGGAAAATAAACCCATGTGGTGGGTGCAGGCCTGAATACTCTCCCACTAGTAGAATAAAGAAGTTATTTTATTAGAATTCATATGACAACATGGAGTAGGCTGAAAGACCCCCAGATCTAAAATGTTAGATCTGGGAATGAAGCTGTTTATAACCCTATATGCTTGGTTTTGCACTTTATTTTAGTTTTTTTGAGCCTATGTCAGGTCAGTAAATGCAACACAGCCCTAGAGACAACGTTAGTATCGTACATTTTATAGGTTCTATGTTCTGTTGCTGGGGTTACGGCTCTCGCAGCTCACTGCATGCGCACTGCAAAGCGCTGTCTGTGCGAGAGCAAGAGGCTGAAAACGACACAGTTCTTCAGTTAGGACAACTCAGATGGCGTTGCAACTTACCCGTTACTGGAGGGAGTAAAAGTCACGAAAGAGACTCTTTTCTTGCTGCGCATCTTCACATACCCACACACCTGCATCACACCGGAAGGCAGAAGCATGTCAGAAACCAGTCCTCAAAGGGTTGCAAAGTCATTTCTAAGGCTTTGGGACTCCAGTGATTCACAGTGAGAACCATTTATTCACAAATAGGGAAAGAACGAAACAGGGATGGACCATCACAGGAGTGCTAGCATGCCGAAATTACCATGAGAGCACATTGACAACAACATGCTGGAGGTCACTCAAGATCTCACTTGCCTGAACTAAGGTCATTATTCCAATACCAAGAAAGAGACTCAGCAAAATAGCATCTACACGAATGGAAAACCAAAATTGATTTTAAAAAGAGCTTAAGATTAAAGAGAAAAAATAAATCTTGCAAAAACTATCTTGATGATCCTCAAAGATTATTGTTAAGAGTTAAAAAATATATTTTCTGGGAAGCTCCCTGTTACATCTGATGGTAATAGCATTTTAGAGCAATAACATAATTCAACAGGCAAACATTGTAGTGGTATTGTGACGGTTCAGGGTTACTATGCTGCTTTACAGCCTGAAAATCTTGCAGTAATTTCTTGAGCAGGAGATTTGCAGAAAGTCTTGGGAAAGAATGCTGAGCAATCAGTTTGAGACCTAAACACAAAGTGCTCTGAAAAACTGAAAAAAATGAAAACTTTGGAGTGGTCCAATCACTGCCTGGGCTTAAATGTAATTAGCATGACGTCGGGATGTTAAACAGGCTGCTAATGCTCAAGCTGCCTATAATGTGGCTGTTGAAATGAAGGCTCTTACCTTTCACACAAGACCAAGTTGATACGGATAGCTACTTTCCTCTCTATAGATAAAAATCATGGTTTTAAAACTGCTTTTTGTATTGTGAGTAATATTTGTTTAATGATCTAAAACAATCAAGTGCAGGATATGATTTTTGACATCACAGATTAGTGCATTTCGGACTCTCTGTCCAGGTTTCTTAACTCTTCACATTCGGAATCGGAAGCTTTCCACTAGTGACAAAAATTTTTAAAGTACCATAAAATATTAAATACGGATGTGTTTTAGTGTACTTTTGATGTCTGAGTTTGACATATTACCTTCAGATATGTGCAATGTCCGTGGCACTTTCTCACGACTATTTAAGATGAGTAAGGTAGCGACAGAACACTGAAATTCATTAAAAATGCAGTATTGGAGATTCAAGGAGTAATGTTTTTTGTAAATAAACACGTGTTGGATAAGATTAAAGCAGGCTCGTTCCTGTTGTTCAGTGAGGCTCACTTAAATAAAAAGAAATCAATATCGCAGTTCTGCTTCTTCTTCCTTTTTATTATTGCTAATTGCAAACAACTTCAAGGTGCATACCGCCACCTACTGTACATGAGTGCGTTACACACTCTGCGTATAGACAGCTTTTTGACTTTCAGCTTGAGCTGTTCAAGACTGAAATCCTGTTGCTCAAGTGCAACACCCAGTGGTTTTAGAATGAACTGCAATGTACAACAATGTAGGTAACTAGTTAAGCCATTAGCCTGAGAGCAAATTAATGGCTTAACTAGTTTCACCTGTGCGTGAGTACAGAGACAGAGCAGCGAAGAGACGGGACAGGTGTAGTTTGCACAGATACATCTATCCAGCAACAGGCAATAATTTTGATGTGGAAGCTATAAGAAAACCTAATTTAGATATAGATCAATGGT